TTATCTTCCCAAATCTGCATGATCTGCCCTTAGGAGCCCTTAGGTCATTCACATCATACCAACTCACATCCGATGTGAGTATAGGCTCTGCCTGCCAAAGCATTGAAAAAGACACTTCGCCGATCCCGGACTTTTGGCCGATGCAGTAGTTTGCCATGGGTGTTTCGTGGTGGATCTGTTCAAGTCCCCATCTCATGGGGAAGGGCACACGATTCCCAGGGGAAGTCTCAGCAGCTATTTTCCTTGGAAGTACAGGCTCCAATGAACGAACATCATCTCCCAACGACAAGTATACGAGGTAGTTCGGACCTGCGTGAAGGTATTGGTGGATCAATTCCGATTCGTCGGGCCTCGAAAGACAAGAAAACATTGGACACATCCCAAATTCTGCAGTGACAGGGCTGAAGCAAACAGCTTCATTCACCCCCAAACGCCTTGTCTTGGGTACCTCATTGCGCTACTCAAGGTCATGCCAGACTCGGGTCCTGATTCGGCTCGCCTGCAGACATTCCGCACTGCTCGCGCCACGCCCGTGCGCGGTGGGATTTTCTTTGGGTCCCGTGATGGCGAAGCCCTTGCTCTTGAGCCGCAGCGAAAAAGAAGGGCCGCGCCGAATCCGGCAGCTCAACACCCATGAACCGAAGGTGTTTGGATGCACAGGGCGAGAAGGGGGGGGGCAGGCGGAGGCCATCGTTTCAAACAGCAACTCCAAGTGGAAATACTATGCCCTCCGACTATGCCTCAGACTAACGACTAACGACTAACTCTAGGCCATAGTCTGAGACTAACTGAGGAATATATGCCTCAGACTATGCCTCAGACTATGTCTATATACATCGTTCCGAGGGGACACAGATCTGTCTACTGGCCATTTGGCGTGCCCGTGACCTGAGACTTGACCTGACAGCTTTCTGTGAAACACCAACACGACTTCGGCTAAGGCTGGCATCAAATTCCACATGCTCTAGACCACTTTGATGAAGCACCTTCAAGGTCTGACAATATCAACATGTTCCCAACATGTTGTTATACATGTTAGCAATACACGGCAACTATGTTCCTTCAAACATGATGATTCTGTACTGCATTCCAGGGAGCTTAAGATCCTGAACCAAACACGCGACACAAAAAGAAAGACACAAAAGGCATCTTTCCCGGCTACGCTCCAACTCGCTGGCCCCACTGGAAAGACCATGAAATGCTCTATGAACAGGTGGTGAACTCCCAAGTGATATATATATATATATATGTTGGAGTGCAGCTTTCCCCGACAAACAGGCCTTTGAGCTAATTCTTCCCGGAGCACCGCGCACTTCTGAGCCTGCCGACGAACACGAGGCAGGGAACCAACGAACCCGACGATCCAACATCGGATGCTGCAGCTTGATTATATAATATTATATATTACTAGAGGTAGATGAATTCTCTACAGTTGGTCACAATCAGGGCCCCACCAAAAAAGAACGGTGGCTTCGAGCCGCAACTCGGCGCCCTCCAGTGCGACACGAGACTCCACTCTCAAGTCCACCCTTTGACAAACCCCTGGGCTTCGCACTCTCAAAAGCATTTACCTCGGCAGATCATGACATCGCCTCGGCTTGCACCTCTTCGGTCAAGCGCGTGGCCTTCAGCGCCTGGCGAGAAGCGAACTGGAGCTGCCGGAGATACTCCAACTCTCAAAGCCATAGCGCGAACCATCCATCTGTGCAGGGTGTCCGAATCTGTGAAGGATGCTGCTACCTGATAGGATTGTTCTACTGCCTCTGCAAAAGCGAAAGGACCACGAGTCATATACCCTCTATGATTCCCCAAAGCATCTGGTATGTGCCAGGTTCATCCAAGTGACCGAACTTGATATCCCTGGATGAGGTGATGAGGTCACTTAGGCCTCATAAATAAGGTCACTTAGACACACCAGTTCGAGGTCACGAACTGAAGAGGCTGGTGGGCTGGGTCTCCAAATGTCACCACTGGGAGTCGAGCCCAACTCCCAGGGTCCAACTTGATGGCATAGCACCTTCCTTACGGGGTCACCAATGGCCAATGGCAGCCCCCACACTACCTGTGGATCTCCACTGAACTGAAAAAAACACCTCTTTGAAAGTCCAGGTATCAATATACACTGTATAAGCGCAGCTATAATATGCCACAATATCTGCAATCTTGTGTTACTGCAGCTGATGCATGGCTACCTGGCTGTTCTTCAAGGAATGCATAGGCGAACGAGTGTAGATAATCTAAGATTTCCTTCCAGCAAAAACTACCCCTCAGGGACCAATCCAAGCAGCCGGTCCTTTCATGTCCTTTGGCCGCGATCCTATGTACAATTCTTTGGACCAGCTGTCATGCCTAGCTTGGCCAGGCTGCCCCATGTCCAGGTGTGCAGTTGGCCACACGTGGACCGCTGAAGAAACGACCGGAAGTGTGACCCTCAGCAAGCTCCTTCTGATCCTTCTGGCGTAACGTCACCCTGGCGTAACGAGCAGCAATCACCCAACATTCAGCACCAACCGAACGGGTGCATGTGTTTTTTGGGTCATGTGATCCATACCAGCACCCTCCAACAGGCTGTTTTGAGACCCGGCCACAAGTGGTTTTCTGGACACCGCCGGACTTGTCACAAGGAATCACCTGCTGGTGCTTGTGGATTGAGTGGCCACTGCACACCGTGCACGATGGCACGCCCTCGAGATCCGTGGCAAAACGCGTGATTTCGCCGTCAGTCCACGCCTGGCAGTTCTGCAGCTTGACCATGCTAGCACGAAACCTCTCCTAACATCTCCTAACATGCCCCCGCATTCTGACAGTGTTCTGTTCCCACACTGTCAGGTGTTGTGTCCCAAATGCGTCATACAGTCATACCTTTGCTTTACACCGGATCGGGACACGAACCGAACTCACGAACCGAACCGGCCGAACCGAACGGCGTCGAAGCAGCGGCCGGACCGGGTCGGAGCCTCCTGCTGACCCAAGGGATGTGGAGGTGCCATGTTTTTCACAGGGCCACCAGTGATGTGTTGACCATGATGGTTGCAGCATTCATCACTGAGACGAGCCTAAATGTGATGCTCAACAAACAAATGTGTTTAAAGTCGTTACATCTCTTTACCCTAGGCTTCCTGGCCCACCATTGATAGGCTGAATCCCGAATCAACTAAGGATTTTACACTAATACAGGTCGTTCCCATTGCCGAACGGAAGTCGAACGGAAGTCTAGGGTTTACACCAAAAAAGAAGGTGATGGATCGAGGGCCCCGAGCAGTGGACCTTCCGCGGGTTGCTTGAGGACACACGGTGGCCCTGTGTCCGAGACTACGAAAATACAGACAAATGTGGCCTAAGGGCCTAGTTCCCAGAGCCAGTTCTCAGTGACGAACGAAACCATCACCTAATATTGATTTCCTTTTAAGTAATATTGATTTCCTTCTTTAATATTGATTTCCTTTTAAGTAATATTGATTTGATTTCCTTTTAACTAATATTGATTTCCTTTCAACCCGGGGTGGATTTTTTGTTTCAATTGTTAGTCAGGAGTCTCAATTGTTAGAGCGGGGGGTATTACTAATCAAGAGTCAACATTAGAAGCGATGGCCTCCAACCTACATACAAGTACTAGCGATGAGACCCATTTTGGTTCTTCCGTCCAATGGTCGATGCCGGCGTGCCCATGGCCTGCAGCTCCCACTGGCCGTCCACGGCTAGTGCCCCGAGCGCCCTTGCCACCAGCCTGGCAGGAAGGAAGCTTTCGAAAGTTCGCAGTGGGAGCATTGTCTATATAGATATATAGATCGTATATGATTGTATCAGCCGGCCTTATCTCCTGATATCTCTTACAACCATTAAAGAGTGGTCTTTCAATGTCTTTCATTGAAGGCACTAGTTGTATTGACTTCTGAAGGCACTGGAGGGAGCTGAAATCCAGGAAATAAATACCTTGCAAAAACGACTTTAAGCATACAATTGCTGTGATACACTTCACTAGACTCACACATGTGTCGAATCTTGAACAGGCTGTGCGGACTGTAGAAGGAGATGAGAGACAGTTTCCATCAACAAAGGTCTAAAAGCGCTGGTCGCAAAAACCGGCGTGTTGAGAGGTTTGCCAACAGGTTGCCAGACGGAAGCGTTTGCGTTTGCGTTTGCGTCGCACCAAAGCCCAAGCACCTTTCACTGGTTTGTTGCAACAAACCTGAGAATGCCCATCTGATCCCCCTGCTCGGGGTAAAAGTTGCTTGAATGTTCCATCGCCTTCTCATGGTTCGAAACCTTAAAACAAACAAAAAGACATCGAAACTGGAGCCGGTTGGAGCTGCCACGCTTCCCCGTGGCAACCTCCCCGGTCTCAGGTCGGTTCATCCAGCGAACGCCCCAGTCTCGCCTTTCCCTTCGAAGCCCGCGGAGCGGCCCGCGGAGCGCCTATCGCGGTGAACGTGGAATTGGACAGTCCATGATCCAGAAATCCCTACACAGTTGTTCCAATACCCAGACCATCCATGTATAGAAAAGCTTTATATATACATTCCGGCCGGGGTAAATGTAATTATTTCATGCATTGGATGGTCTGGGATAGGTGGACAATGGTGGACCGTGGTGAATTTCGATCTTCGATCTCGAAGAGCCGGGAGCAAGATGAGCAAGTCTGGGCCCAGTGAGATCCATCTTTGAGCACACAAAGCCCTCTACAAGAAGAGACGGATGCTTCACCACAAGAAACGTTGTAGGATTTATGATTGATGTTTTCTTTTAGATATACAGCTAGGTATCCATGCCAGGGGGGCCTTGCTCCCCGGCCGAAATGATCATAAGTCATTCAAATCCTGGTTCTTGAAAGTGACCTTTTGACAATATCATACCAGCACCTTCAAAGGGGTCACCAATGGAAGCCCCCACACTACTAAACACCCCTTGAAGGTCCAGGTAATCATATCCGTATTTTGAGGTCACCAAATGGCCTGCAAGAGTGAAACTGGACTCCAAGAGTGTTTCACTGGACCATATGTCCCGCACTCGACTTGGCATGGCATGTCATGACTTGCTGCCTCCAGGGTCGTTCAAAAGGTAGAACCAACTCCCAACCCTCGCTGCACGTCTTGTCCAAATGAGGCACTGGCTGTAATTCACAGTGCCGGCACCCTCCAGGTCTTCCAGTCTGCCAGAATGCCACGCGCTCGAATCCTAAACCGCCCTGCCCCAGACATTCCTGGACACTTGCTTTTTGTGAATTCAACATAATTCAACCTCCTCCTACAGGACACTTCCTTCCTTCATCCCTGCCAGCCATCCCCCCAAACCTTCCAACCGATCTCTCGCTCTTGTGAAGGTCTCCACGACGTCGTCTCTCGGATTTTTCGGCCATGACGTGCCTCTCGTGCCTCTCGCGGTCGCGCGAGCATCTCTGGGGATCCCCGCTCGATGGGTTGGACCACTTGGGCTTGGAACGTTCCAGAGCTTCGAAGGACTTTTGGATCTCCTCTTGTTGTCGGTCCATCTCCTGACGAGCTGGACCCATTTTTTCAGCGACGTTGGGTCGAACTACTTAGTAGAAAATGGGTGACCCGAGGAAAACATGACACTTGTACACATCTTCTGCGGTACTTTGAGACTGCGGGCGCTGTAAGCATCAGCAGATGAGCCTCATCATATGAGCCTCATCATGGTTTCACATGCATTCCACAGTTTCACTGCCTTATTTTCCAAACATGGAAGGATCATTTGTTTCATTCAGTTGACCCAGGACCTCCAGTTCGTGACACTCAAGCCCTTTGTAGTGTGGACTGTCTAAGTGACATAGACATCGAGATTGGATGAGTGACCTCCCTGGGGCTCCACATCCGGTTCGGTAGTTGGAGGCTCCTTCTTGGGGGTTGTTTTGGAGTCTCAAGGCCCTGAAGCTACGGCCATCCTCGCTTTCCTTTCATCACGCAGGAAGGAAGAGAGGTTGGCAGACTGTTTTGGGAAGCCCTTAGGGGGTGTTTGTCTGAACAACATTGGGGCTAGTTTTAGCCTAGGATGGTTCTCATCTGTTCATGTCTCAAATTGTGGGGGGTCACACGTAGTCATGTTGTGGCAGGAGGTTGTTTTTCTTGTTGTTGGTCAGCAGCTTGACGCCCAGCACGGTGGTCCTCGTACACCGGCAAATATTCCAAGTGATTTTCCAACCTCAATGACTCAGCCGTGAGGCTTGGTTCCCCTGTCCACTGCACCACACGCGAACGCCTGGCATGAGGGCATTCAACAAATTCTACCCAGAAATGACACTTGTTACTGATCCCGAAAAATCGATGTCTACAATGTACACATTCTGAAGCTCTTGAAGGGTTTCGGTGCGAAATGTTTGGTCTTGCCAGTGTTTTTGGGGAGCACTCGTTGCCAGTGACGCTGACGCCTCCATGCACCACAGGTCCCCCGAACCCACCAGTTGGAAGCACTGCTTCTTCCGATTGGCCGTGCGGGTCCACCTTTGGTGCAGGGACCCGGATCCTCAAGGAACCGCCATCGGTGGCTGGCTGGCTGGCGTCTGGAACATTTAGGGCCTAGGGTAGAACACCTGGCGTATGTTCACCATTGCTCACCTCTCCCAAGAGAATCTGATGTTTTACACATCACGATCAGAGCTGAGAAGTCCAACGGATCACCCGTCCCCCCAAAAGAGTCGCGAATCCGCCATCTCTTGGCATCTCAGCACCTCTCAGCACCAAAGCCAGGCTGCAAGAGCTTGGCATCTTCCAAAGCACTGGACGAGCCTAGCAGCTCCAAGCCTCTCCGGGTTCCGCACGCATCTCTGGGTTCCGCCCATATGCTCTCCATAGGGTCCAGGTACCTCCTGTGAAAGTGCTTCCTGGGATGGCGACCCTTAGGACTCAGGTGACCGGTCGTCTTCGACCCCACCACCGAACCGCCGAACCGGTCCGTTTGGGCCGGGCGGACCGGTCCGAACTCGGCCGAGACGGCTGACTGGTCCGTTCGGCGTTGCCACCTCCCAGACGCGACCGGTCTGGGACTGCCGGACTGCCGAGTGTTCCGGCCAGGGGTGCCAGCGGGGTCTGGGGTAGCAGTCCGGCAGTCCCAGGACAGGTCGCGTCTGGGACATGTTTCAACGTGTTTCAACGTGTGTGGTGAAAACGAGTTTCGGGCCTCCGTCTTGGAGAGTGGCGGCAGCAAGTTGTGCCTGTTGCAGCAGCAAGTTTGATCCGGTGGCTTTCGGAGAGGAGAACACATGAGATTTGATGGAACAAATAGCAGCAACACATGGACACATGTCTTTCTATGACTTTCTATGCCATTCTATGTCGAGGTTTTTGAAGACGGATAGACTCCGGCACACGCAGCTGGGAACTCTGGCAAATGCTTTGGTATTCACACTCCATTTCTGGCGAAGTTGGGTCATTAGGGGCAAGCTGCAGCAGTGAGGTAAAAAGAGAGCAGCCCTTGGCTTAAGGAGCTCGTGTTGAAATGGGGTCCCCCCCTACCAAAAGAAAGTGGATATCCAAGCGAAACCAAGTACACACGTCGATATGTCGATGAAGATGCTGTAGTTCGCCAAAAGATGCAGATTCAGTTACAGCCTTTCTGTATGTGTCACATATGCGTCAAACTCTTTCCCTTCAATTTGGGGCCACGTCGTGTCACCAGCCTTCTTCGCAATGTCCAGAAGAATGCGATTGTCCTTCCGAAACCAGGCCAAGCTTGATTCCTGGTGCTGACTGGGTCAGACAGTCATTGTCACAAAAGGCACAAAAATCACAATCTCGTCTCATCACTTCATTTGAGCGATGGACCCCCATCAAACAAATCAAACAAGCTGTTTGTAGTTACGTAGGACAATTTCAGGGTCAAGTTCCTTCCAAGAACACGGAGACAAATGGATTTGCTCAAACGCTCATGGACCGGAGGGGTCTGGGGTTTCAAATCCCTAGGTGTTGAGGGACCGGTTGGGCTGTTTTCACGGAGCTGGGTGGCTGTAAATCATCTGGAAATGATCTCTCAAAGACCGCAAAATCCGGTGAGGCTATAACACGCTATAACATGATAATATAAACACTGGGACGAAGACCATTTGGGTGGGCAAAGGCAATGCAATCCACTGGGCTGCTGTAATGGATTGCAAGCAGCCATTGCGGTACGTAGCCAATCAGGACGATTTGTGCTCGCTTACGATCTGCAAACACCTCCAACAAACTAAACATGAACCCCAACCGAAAGCGGAAGTATATATTAATTATATCGCTTTCCAGCCCCAACTGGGGACTTTCCAAATTGAATCTGGGACTTAACATATCAACAGTCATATCAACAAAACAACTTCACATCACCAGGATCTTTTTGGCTCAAGCCTTCCGTGTCTAGAAACACGTGTTCCCCGAAGCTTGGATGCACTTAGGCTTCGCTTAGGCATTCAATGCCAAAAAATGCTTCCCCAGCTCAGATGTAGGGCAGTTCTCCTTGATGTGCCTCAATTGGGTGGAGACTCAAAGTAGCTAGCCTTAAATTGGGTGGAGACATGTGAAATTGCTGATTGGTTCATAAATGGTTTCAAGTTGATCGAGAGTTCAAGCAAGTTGCTGGTTCCGCGCATCAGAGCCTGCCTTCTTGCAGGAGGCGCTATCCAGCCCCTGTACTTTTGCCGCTTTCCATGCGGTCGAGTAAACCTAGGATGAAGAATCATTATAAAATTGTTCATAACTCGAGCGGAGAGATGCTGCCAAGTTGTTGCCAAGTGGCAGAGTGGAGCTTCTTCCACAGCTCATGCTCATTCTTCTTCAAATCCGCTGCTGAGGAATCTCGTTGCTCCACCTTTTTCATAGGTTGTTTCTTGGGTGCTGCTCGCTTGGGTGCTTTCTTGGGAGCTGGTTTGCTGGCCGCAGAGGCATTCTGCGTTGGTTTGCGAGCCCGCTTTTTCGGGGTGGGCTTAGGCATCGCTTTGGCCTCAGGTGTTGTAGGCGCTGCCATGCCGCGGACCAAAGCAGGAGCAGCGGCCCCAATCCTCATCTCCTCATCCTCAACCATCGCACTGGGCTCAGGCCCATCGCCTTGAGCATCCTCCGCGGCACTCGGAGATTCTGTGGCAAGGGATGGCGGCATTTCCTGAGCATGAACGCTGGGGATGTCTGTTGGAGTCGAAGTTCCTGGGGTTCCTGAACACTCAACAGATTCTGGTGTCTCACCTTGGGCGAGTGTCTCGCCTCCAGCATCTTCTGGCACCTCACCTTGTGTCCCTTCAGATGCTGTCTCCCCTTCAAGAACTTCCTTCGGCGTCCCACCTGTGATCTCATCTTCCTCGACATCAGTGGGCCTCTCACCTTCTTGCGAACATGCCATGTTCCTTCTTGACTGCTGTAGTCGATCCATTTCTCGATGCATGGCGCAGGCCCACTCTCCAAAGCCTTCTTCACTCCATTCTTGTTGAACAACTCGCCGATCACGCTCAGCAAGATTCGGGTCCTGAAGCTCATTGTAGAAAGCTTCTGTTCCTGGAAGGGGCCGCTCGATAACCTCAGAGGCAAGATCATTAGATTCATTAGATATCATTAAAAAACATTTAAAAACGCTCACTTGTATGGTTCATGCAGTGGAAATTACTCTAGGCTTAGTGGCATTGTTGTTCAAATCCGAAAGATTCAGTGAAGCATTCATCCTGCGATATGCCACATCTTCTTGTTCAATCTCCTGGAGAAAAAAGCGATCACCCGGTCACATCTAAGGAGTTTGATGTTCTTCGAACAATTGGCAACACATTATCTAGAATAATCCATACTTGTTCATATGTCATGTCAATATTTTCATGTTTTTTTGGAGTTTGCTAATTGCTGTGATTTAAATCACCACCAGCCAAGCCTCCAAAGGATCCATTTGCGTCTCTGCATGTGACTCAGGATAGTATGGCGAGAGGTGCTCAGGCTCATATGTATCACAGTGCGCTGCCTCAGCCGGTTGGAAGCTGTGGAAGGTTTGGCCGATCAAGATTCCTCTGAACAAAGCAGTAGGTAATAATTGCTCAGAAAGAGTCTTCCTCCAATCCAAGCTGATTGTCCGGGGTGTCCTGGTCCAACTCAATCAGAAGATTAGGCACCTGCTGCCTAAGGTTTGACAAGGTGTTGAGATGAGGGTTGAACGTGAGATTTGTGTTTCAGAAGAAGTATATTCTGTTGAGTTTCTTCCCCTCAATGTCGTTGAAAAATGGCAGTTGCTGTTCAGCATCTCCACCATCCTGTTCAGCATCTCCACCATCCATCAGCTGGTCACCCTTAGGTTAGGTACGCAATAAACGTTCAGAGTTCAGAGGTCGCAGCGTTTGTATGTGGTGGTACCACTGCTCAATTACTCAAACGTGACTGACACACACAGCCGCACATAGATTTCAGGCAAGCAGCATCCGAATCTGAATCCATTAGTCTTGCTTTCTTCTTTTTCGTGCTGGAGCCTGATGGTTTCTTGGGTCTCTTCTTGGTAGTTGCGGGCTTTTTGGAGGGGCCACTACCGCCACCCTTCGCTGCACCCGCTGAACCACAACCGTCACCAAAGTCTTCATCATCAGACTTGCCAGGAATAGGATCATGATATGGATCGAATCCAAAATCATCGTCATCATCTTCCTGCCCTTTCTTCTGACTTTTGTTTCGGCCTTTGTTCTTGGGCTTTGGCTTAATGGGCTTCACATCCTCGGCCTTATCAGATGAGTCAGAATCACGAACACGAGGCGGCAGAGCATGCACCACCTCAGAAGGGTTTGTAGCCGCAGTGGACCCTGTAGCTGTAGGCGGTCTAGACGTGCCTGGAGCAACAAGGATGTGTAAGATCCAAAACGCATCATATCAAGTTCATGCGCACAAGCACATGTTTACTCGGCCTGATGAAGGTGCTGCAGCTTTTGGAGCGGAATTTGGAGGCACGCTTGTTGTCACCCGGGGTGGCGTCGTGGTGGTCGACCCAGCGCCTCCATCTTGAAGAAGTCGATTCAAGTTGAAAGCCTGGCATTGGGTGAGTTGAGTTTCTCTTGGGCAAGGTTTTTAGCACTGCATCAAAGTACATTTACACCAAGTGGCAGGAACATGAAGAGCTGTTGTCAGGGGCACCTCCACCACTTCTTCGTCTTCCATGTTTCCAAATCCAGAAAGGACTTGGTCTAAATTGAACCAAGCGCGACCCCCTGCTTGCCACAAATCAGCGGTCCATGGATCACAGGAGTTGTGTCCAACCAAGGCAGCATGCAGTTCAGATGAAACCAAAGTTTCTGGGAACCACTTCAAAAGAAAGCTTCAACTTCAGAAGGACGGACCTCTTTTTATGCAAAAAATGAGGTATGAGGAAGTATCGGTGTCGAACCATCATTCTGACGGCAGGCACACAGCATGAAAGTCGGGCCAGCTGTGTGTTTACATCATGGTTCACACCAAACCTTGGAGCCAGTCTTTGAGCCTATCGCACTCCCAAGTTTCCAAAGCATCAAGCAAACTTGCTTGAAGGCATTGAGATTAAACCTTACAGTAGACTATTTAAACTCAAAAGCGGAATCAATGATTTGCACATGGGGTGGGAATCTAGTGAAGGCTCTCGCAGGCTCCTGCGCCAAAACCTACTCAGGGTGACACTCGGAACCGTTTAGGAGACACCGGAGGTTTAAGTGAGTTCCATCAAAGAGGCAACCTGTTCCTGATTTGTTCGACCCTTGACATGGAATTGCTTTGCACTGCTCTCTACATGAGACGGACCGAGCTTTCACCCACATCCAATGGCCCTGCGATGCACACGCAAGGTCTTATTGGAACCACGATCTTGTTTCCATCCGAGCCACTGCAATCCAGCCTGACGCTGGACAATCCAACAGGTTGGGACTCTGAACAAGTAGCCAATTAGTCACAAGACTCATGACTCAGAAACAAACTGCGCCCTTGCCTGCATCGCCACACAATCATGAGATTGTCACCATTGGCTTTCAGCCTCGAGATATTGACATGCGCTCCAAAGTTCTTGGCGGTGATGGTGGCCTTCCGCTTTTTGCCAGGAGCATCCTCTGAGGGCATGTCGAGCACAAAGACCAGGGCCTTCGATTGCTTGAGGTCGCCGTTTTCCAGCAGCGAATGGTGGGATATTTGCACCTTCACCTTGGCTGCAACATGATGCAGCACGGTTCTCCCCCCTTGAGGAAAAACAGGATTCTGAAGCGACCTCATGTGTGGGACTGCCTGCTAGTGTACCATTTCATTTTGCGGACAGTCAAAATAACAAGCATTCAATTCCTAAATGTGGTTCAACAGGCAGGGTGCTTCGCCCATGTCTTGCAAGTCAGACAGAACGGCCTGGAGAGACACTACAGTGTCCAAGCTCTCCATTTGCTGCAGGTGATTTGGCATTGTCTTCTTCTCGAGGATAACCATTGAATCCTTCGTAGCATTAAAGCTGAACCATCTTCCTTCCGGGCAAGCAGTGACGTCAGCAGCGTCCTCAATCAGTTCAAAGTGGTGAGCAATATATGGTCTTTATGTTTTGCACTGCAACCATCGGCTAGATGTCCAAGGGGCAGAGCCGTCCCTCCACTCACCAGATCCAAACGAAAACCTGGTTCCAAGAAGCAGTTCAACCATATTCAATCATGAACTCATGAATTTATTGCCGATGCTTTGCTCAAAACATGTCCCAGTAGTTTATTCTTCCAAGAAGCAGCTCTCGCTTTTCAAAAAGCTGGTTGCGGCCTTT